TAGCCAATCCGAACCAGCCTTCCATGGCTTTTGGGATCTTTCAGGCCCAAGCGTCCGGCTGAGATTCATGGCGACCTGAAAGGTAACATGCTCAATTCGCCAATGTTACTTTCGGTTGCTGACTTATGGAGAATTCTTTGGTGAGAACATAGTCAATAAATCGCTGCCAAGCTAACATCTAGCTAAACTGCTGCCTTCGGATGATCGTCGCTCTTGTTAATGAGGTGAAACCACCAGCTCGGTTGAAGGACCCCAATTCTCTTCTTCATCCCTGTAGCTGCAACGAACATGCGAAGTCGGCGGCTCCGCTGTGAGGTGAGGTGAGATGAGAATTGAAATGAGTGCTACACCAGTCTTGGCAAATCACCCGTTTCTTGACCCAGCAAGCGGTCAACACTCAGATCAACGTTAGGTAAAGGGGTTGGAAAGTAAGCCAACATCATTCACATGGTTGTGAGACAGGAGATTAGCACTCGGTGTAATGCAACCAGAGATTCGAAACATTGAAGCCGTTTTTATTATCTATCAGAACGCCCTGACGCATGCAATAACCCCCTTCCAACGTACAGCATTCCAAATTACTAGCCTCCCCAGATCCATACCTAACACAAGAAAAGAAAAATCCTTGGAATAAACCCCTGCTATCACCATTGTGAGCAACCTCGTGAGGCCAATCTTCCCTGTCTATACAAACTCTTACAGCACAATCGCCAGCTCCGGTCTATCCATCTTGTCTTCGTCAAGATTTGGATAATATGGCACCATTGCGTCAGCCCCCTGAACGTATGCGTCGTTGTACAGGCGCCAGTATGGGGTTCTGACCTTTCTTGCCGGATGGAACAGGCCCGCCCAGACGTAGTTGAGCACCAAGCCTGGTCCGACTGCCATTCGAATGGCCTCAATGGCCTCCACGATACGATCGATGACATGCGGGCTAGTCTCGAATAGATTGGGGTACAGAAGGTTGAGTAGATGCACCATAGCGTCCTCGCATCCCAGACCAACGACGCCCAACGCAATATGCTTGACGACGGAAGCTGCTGTTTGACGGTGGACCTGATCACGGTCGATAAGGGCGTCTTCCAATAAGGGAGTCACTGCGTAGACGTAGTCCTTTGCCATCTCGCCGATATACTCGAAAAGGAAAGAAAGCGACTTGAGCACACCATTCTGCACGTTGAGCTCAGGGACTCGGTATTCGTTCATGAGGGCAGGAAGAACTGTAAAGGGAGCACAAGTTTCGGCCACGATACCTATGGCAACAGCCGTGTTAACACGGGACTGGCGCTCCTGCACTCGAAGGTTGTTCAACAGAGTTGCCAACACATCCTGAGGACCAATAGCTTTGGCAATGAAACCAAACGTATTGTTCGCAGCTCGTCGAATGCCCTTTTTGTGAGCCTTAAGCATGTCGAGCAGCTCAAAGCAGATCCGCATCCATTCTCGGGCATTGACGCTCTCAGGTCCCCGATCCGCAATACGGCCGACCAGGTCAATCGTATTCTCCTGAACCTTTTCGTGACGGTTTCGCAGAATAGGGGTCAGTCGTGGGAGCAGCTCCTTGATGGGTGGTTGCATCTGTGCAATACCAACAACTGTAACAATGGACCGCAGGGCACCCAAGATAGATCCGAGAACTTCGGGATATTCTTCGCCCAGGTACTCGTAGAGCACAACGCCCAGCTTACCCATGAGGGCGTCCTCGCCACACTGCTTCATTACCATCGCAATTCGAGAAATCAGATCTGCTGCCTGTTGTCTAACCGTAGCCGATTTGTTGTTGAGTCGCCATAGAATAGTACTGACGATTTGCGGGATGTAGGGCTTGCAGCGAGTTCCCAAAGCATTGACAACAGAACCAAAGCCGTTGAGCATGATAATGTCTTCGACGCTCTGCTCCTGGAACGCATGAAGGATACCGTCTACAAGTCGCTCTTCTAGGCGCTCGCCGATATCTGCTGCGCCCAAGCTGGCAACAATCTTCTCCACCGTTTCAACAGTCATCTTTCGGTATGGTTCGCTCTCGTCTTTAAGGTTGTTGACGATCCTCTCCACGATTTCGCTGACTCCAACCTTTTGGCCGATATCGACAGTTGTTTCAACCACTTGTCGATAGTTTCGCTTATCCAAGGCCATTCTTCGTACCCAAAAGCTCTTGAAGAACTCGTCCAGAACGTGCTCCTTGAGGTATCCTGCAGTGACACCATCCGTCCCAGCGCACTGAGAGACAACCTTGAGAACCACCTTCTTCATTTCCTCGTCAGGCGAAGAGAACTCACGAAGCAGGATCTCCATGATTTGGCTGGTATAGTAATTGGCGTACTCCTCGTCCATCAGGGGAATGATGTATCCAACAGCCTTGAGGAAACCTGCAAGACCCTTGCCTCGCTGCTTGCGGGCGCCCGTCCACAGAGGGTTAAGGATGTCATCGAAACTCTCGATACCATAAGGATTGGAAGCCTCAGCTAATGCGGCAATGGCCAAACTGGTAACTGTTCTGACCTTTGTTTGTTCATCGTTGAGGTTAGGCCCAATACACTCAACAAGGCCCTTGAGGTGAGGAAGCACGGCACAGCCCATCAGAATAGGGATTTGCTGAACAATCTTCACACCTGTGTGACGGGCTTGCCATGACTTCTTGCTCCTGCAGACAGCTCTGAGGAAGGGCAGCAAAGCCGGGATGCCGAGGGCGGATGCTACCACAGCAAAAGCTCGTGCTGTTGTGTTCCGGACATATTCATCGACGTGGTCGATATCGGGTCGCATAGTGCTGATCATGGTAGCAAGACCAGCGGCCTTGCTCAGGTTAGAGATAATTTCGCGTCCCTCCACTCTGGCGTAGTAGTCTTGGTCGATGAGCAGTGGCTCAATAACAACCAGGATCTTGTGGACATAGGGGCGCACGAGGTCGTCGAGTTTGTAAAGAATTCGGTCAATAACTTTCACCAGCAAATGGCGCTCTTGATCCTCCAACGTCTTCTCCATGAGTAGGGGCAAGATTTGGTCAAAGAGAGGACCGGCTCCGAATTGCCTGGCATTGTCGGTAATCTGGCGAAGAGCAGTCTTTCTCATGGGGGGAGTACCGTTCTTGATCTTTAACAGAAGCCTCATGATCTTCCTCTCCTTCAGCTCTTCAACCGTTAGAGCATTCTCGTCAGAACCATCGGTAAGCTTCCCGAAATATGCCATGTCTTCAGCCTTGAAGAACTGTAGATCTCCAACTCCGGGGATCTCAGCAGGCATTGGTTTCCCACTGAAGCGTACTTGTTCGGGATCTTGCATCATGAAGCCTGTTTGGGGAGCAGGGGTGGCCATAAGCTTGTGTGCTGGAGCGCGGACAGGTTCGTAGCCAGGAGGAGGCTCGAGGATTTTGTAACCCTCGCTCTCGCCCGGTAGGAGGAGGTCGAGTTCTTCGTCGCTGAGAGGCATGTTTCGACCAATGTCGGTACCAAAAGTTGTTGGCAGAGTAGGTGCAGATGATGGGTGCGCAGGAGTAGCTAACCCTGTGTTACCCATGGGCGTAGCAGAAGGGGCCTGGTCCCATCGCGAGCGCTTCCTAGAAACCTCTGCTCCAGGTGCAGGAGCCTGGTCCCATCGCGAACGCTTGGGCTTGGCCGCTTCTGTGGCCTCGGCCCTATCATCCTCAGCGGGTGCCGACGACACATCCCATCTCTTCTTGCGCTTCCGAGCAGTTGAAGAAGCCTCGGTAGCTTCAACTTCAGCATTTCCATCTGTTAGCATGGGCTGTGCATCGCCTTCATCACCGGTTTTGCCCTCCTGCTTCGCTTTGATGGCCTGCAAAACGCGCTGCTCCTCCCTTTCTAGTTCACGAGCCTCCATGATCTCGCGATAGCTGGTACCATTCTCGGAAGTGCCAGCCTGGCGGTTCTCAGCGAAGGGATCGGCGCGTGTGGGAGTGAGGGCGCGATTGAATCGGCGCTTTTGATAATCTGTTTCACGGTCGACGATTCGACCACTGTTCTCGCCTTTCCCAGCAAGGATGTCATCTTCCTCCACACCACCTCCACGAGCGAACTCATCAATCATCTCTCGCGATGCGGTATACTGGCCAGTCAGCCGTCGCGTATTGTCACCGTCGCCCATCTCTTCATCGTCGTCGCCCATCGGTAGCGACGTGTGATACCCGGCAAATCTATCAGCTCCATCACGATCGTAGAGGGTGCTGTCGGCGCTGTCGGTCAACTTCTGCTTGGTGTCGTCGACTCGCTGATTTGCTTTATCAAAGGTTCGCGAACCCTTGTTGGCCCCAGAGGCAGCATTTCGCTCCTGCTGGAGCTTCTTGATGGTCTCGAAATCCGCGTCAGACATTTTCGATTATGATGTTCGCAGCTTCATCCCGGTTCGAGAGGACAAGGGGCGCTCGGAGCGTTATCGTTGCGCATGGAGAGTTGAAAATAGATGATGGGTGGTCGCAAAATTACACTCCTTGACGAAGCTTTCCTAGGTTGGGGGGCGATCTTCTCCACCCGAATTTTAACCGCTTGCTCAGAGATTCATGCATATGCCCGCTTACTGGAAGAGGCAAATTGTCAACAATGATTTACCCCTGGAAACCACATCTCCCACCCCTAAAGACATAATGAGTTTACACACGACGAATAGTGAATTTCGAGTTGAAGGGGCCTTGGCATTGAAATATCATGAAAAACGCCCTCCATTGAACTTGCGTCTATCCGGGGTAGCATCTCGAGAAACTGTGAATCGAATGGTATTATATATTAGTCCGCATCACAACAATACCCAAGTCTAGGAAATAGGTACATAGCCACGTCCTGGTGCCAGAAGTACTTGGGTTCAAGAAAAGTGCGAGCAACTTCTTATGGTGCGCTGATAGGCCTAACACCTGTCAACATGAGACTCAGACTCACCATAAGCCTTGTAAACCAAGTATTCAATATTTATCGATTATCTCACTTCGACGAAACAGTGAAGTAGATTTAGTTATTTTTCCTGTCTTAACTGGGCGTTGAAAGGCACTCTTATGAAGTGCGCACCCTTTTCGACCTTCTCATCTGTTTGATCTCCTCCAGCCCTTGCTCATCTTTGGGTTCAATGACCGGTGTTTCTTCTTTCACCATAGTGTCACTGTCAGTAATGGTAATAGTCGTCTTCGTTTTTGATCTGGTATGTTCTGTGGAATCGTACGCCATCAGTTTCAACACGGTAGGCTCGTCCTCTTCTTTTGCAGCCTGAGCTGCAAACTCTCTCAAATCAGCGGCAAAGAGGACTGAGTGAGCCCAGCCGGCAAATGGCCCCCAGAGGCTTCGGAAGTGGTCCCCCACAGCCTCGTAAGTGGCCTTGTTTAATGTCTTGGCCTTTGATTTCCCAAACTTGTAGTCTCGCTGAGCGATTTGCCAAACATGAGTGTCGACCGGAACTGCCTCTCCCCAGCCGAGGCCCATGAGGCATACGCAGTCGGCAACTTTGGGGCCAACCCCCTTCAAAGTGAGTAGTTGCGCCAGTGCCTCTTTGTAACTTGCATGCTTCTCCTTCGGTACAGGCGTTGTGTTGAAGCCTGGTTGGTCAGGGTTCCGAAGGCTTTCCAACCAGGTTTCAGGCTTCTCGTTGGCAACCATCCGTGCTGTTTCAGCAATGTACTTTGCCCGGTATCCGAAGCCTAATTCTCGAAGACGTGATTCAACACCATCTCCTGTAAGGTCTTGAGGCGATGGGAAGTCGTGAAATGGCTCGTCTCCCATATATGCAATGAGGGGGCCGTAATTCAGACACAGCTTATACACCTTGGATACTCGATCAGTTATGAGTCAAAACCTTTACACACGAAATACACCCACCATTTGTGATATCCGCGTAATATTGTTGTTGCTGCTACAGATAAAACATATCAACGTCTCCCAGGCATCTTGACTGAGAATTCGAACGCCTTTAAACTGGGGAGCCCTCTTTTTGAAGTTGGCATCATCATCTGACCACTGTTTATAAAGCGGTTCGAGGCTAGTATCCAGGTTGAAATAGTGCCGTAGGAGAGCTTCTGTATTGTTGGGTGGTGGCGTCAAAGGTTTGGGAGCTGGAAAGGTGACCCGATAGTGCAGATGAGTCGAGTCCTGCTTCAGGTGAAGAAGTCGTCCATGTAAAGTGCAGGTCCTGAAGCTATTAGTATATTCGACAGGCTGTGGTTCGAAAACAACTCGCCATTCATGGTTGATCTTCTGCCATCTAAAAGATTGCCCACATCTTAAGGTGGTGTTGATACAAAGCTCCCCAAGTGTGACGGGCAATTTTTGCCAATCCGTCTTCCCCACGACAGACATTGAGGAAAAGAATCGAACTAACTACTCTTATTGTAAGAGGCATCAACAAGAGAGATGCGTTAGAGAACGAATTGGCAGAATGAAACTAATACTTTGATGTCCGTGGCGACTCAAGGCTGATGATGTAATAGGCTATTCTGAACGCTATAGCCCCTGAAACTCGACAGCTTACCTGAGTACGAACATAAGCCAAACCCCAACTGTTAAGAGCTCAAGAACAACATACTCTCACGTAGTTGATACAAGGATTCATAATTATATAGATACTGCCCCAGGAACGTGTTTAAGATCAAATATGACAGGTTTTAGCTACATATAATATATATCATGAGTCTAGTTCACGGAATTGCTTATTCTCGACTCTGTATGCTGCTGGAGGTTTTCGCAAGCTGCCCAAGCCTAACCGAGAGGCCAAGTCCTAAATATTGGCGCTAGGCCCAAACCTTACTAACGTTAGCGCCTCTGGCAAAAAAAGCTCCAGCCTCGCGCGATGCCTACCAGCTCTTTGAAATTGGAACCTCGTTGCGGCTTGAATCAACGAATCCGCCTACCAACCATTCACATTCATCAATTTCAGAGAACACATCCAAGCTCTGAAGTCGCTTGTCGCTGCTAAAAGTATGAACGGTGACAGCTATTCTTCCCGAGGTAAGTCCTATTGCCAAAGTGATACTTAATCGCGTCGCGTCGCTAAAACCTTACAACACAGATGGGCGCAGGGGACGAGATTATCCTGTAAGTAACCCATCTCACCCTCTCTAATGTGATTCAAGCTGACTTCGCTTAGCCTAGAGGTGAAAGAGGTGAAAGAGGTGAAAGAGGTGATAGAGGTGATAGAGACGATCGTCGAGACCGACACCGTGACCGCGACCGCAGACGATCTCGTTCACCGGACCACCGAAGCCATCGACGAGGTGAAGGCGATGTCGATGCCTACTCTTCCAGCAGAAACCACCGTGATCGTGAGCGTGAAGACAGATACTCGGGCCGCGAAAGACGAGGTGGCGATCGTGAGTGGGATCGTGATCGAGGATCATCCCGTCGAGACGCCAGGCGCGACGACGACGATCGGCCAAACAGGCGAGACCGAGATCCCTACGAAGACCGTCGTCGCGGTGGAAGAGACCGACGTGAGGACAGATTTCCGGCACATCAGGAGCGCCGTAGCGCGAGCCCGCCACCTAAGAAGCGAGAGCCAACTCCAGATCTGACCAACATCGTGCCTGTCCTCGAACGCAAGCGTCGCCTGACTCAGTGGGATATCAAGCCTCCGGGCTACGAGAATGTTACAGCTGAGCAAGCCAAGCTGTCGGGCATGTTCCCTCTTCCTGGCGCTCCTCGGCAACAGCCAATGGACCCCAGCAAACTGCAGGCGTTTATGAACCAGCCTGGTGGGCAAGTCACGAGCGCTGGACTGAAAGCCAGTAACTCACGCCAGTCGAAGCGACTTTTGGTTTCAAGAATCCCTTCTGGCACAAGCGAAGAGGCTCTCATGTCTTTCTTCAACCTCCAGCTCAATGGATTGAATGTCATTGACACCACAGACCCTTGCGTCCTGTGCCAGTTCTCCAACGACCGGTCATTTGCTGTCATCGAGTTCAAAGATGCCCCGGAGGCAACAGTTGCTCTGGCAATGGATGGCATATCTATGGAGGCCAACGATGCATCGAATGGTACAGATGGAGGCCACCGTGGTCTTGAAATTCGCCGGCCTCGTGACTACGTGGTGCCTGCAGTAACTGAGGAAGTCTCCTACGATTCCGAGGTCGTCTCTAACATCGTTCCGGACACCGTCAACAAGCTCAGCATTACCAATATCCCAACCTTTCTGACAGAAGAGCAGATCATTGAACTGCTGGCTAGCTTTGGCAAACCCAAGGCTTTTGTTTTAGTTAAGGACAGAGGGACAGAAGAATCCAGAGTGAGTATCCCAACCTGTTGTGTAAAACTAAGATTTTCTCTCTAACCTTCTCAGGGTATCGCTTTTGCCGAATACCAAGACCCTGCCGCCTCCAACCCAACTGCGCTTGACACGCTCAACGGAATGGAAATTGGAGGCAAGAAGCTCAAGGTTAGCAAGGCCAGTATCGGTCCTACACAAGTCGCCAACTTCGACGTGGGTATTACCGCTATCAGTGGTCTTGCTTCTCAGACTGCCAATGAGGTTGAAAGCAGTCGAGTACTTCAGCTTCTAAACATGGTGACTGCCGAAGAGCTTTTGGACAATGACGACTACGAAGGTGCGTGATCTTAACCATTTAAAAGAATCTTTACTGATGAAGCTTTTCAGAAATTTGTGAAGACGTTAAGGAAGAATGCTCCAAGTTTGGTAAAATTATTGATGTCAAGGTTCCTCGACCCACTGGTGGCAGTCGACAATCTGCTGGTGTAGGCAAGATCTTTGTTAAGTACGAGAGGGCCGAGGATACAGCAAAGGCTCTGCAAGCTCTTGCAGGACGCAAGTTCGCTGACAGAACTGTCGTGACAACATATTTCCCAGAGGTAAGCTCAGTCTCCCAGGTTTTGGTTTATAGTGACTGACACAGTATGCAGGAGAACTTCGACGTTGGGGCATGGTAAGAGGTAATATCGGTCCCGTTCAGGGCGACCAAGGAGAAAACATGTTTGCTACCTTGGGTATATGGGTTGAGGGGGCAGGAGTCTTCTATCGGTGTACGGGTAGGGAATCAATTGAAAATGTAAAACACGGGGCATGACAAAGCATTTGGTCTCATCGAATTCAACACTACCTACCTTCGTATGTATGAGCAGGTACTTAAGTGCACGTCAGGTACTAATTAGCATGTCGATGTGAATTTGTCTTATTTGAATGCAAGCTTCACTACTACAGGGCGCGAACACATGTTTATGGATTAATACACATTGGTGGGACTAGTCAAGAACAGCGTACATTATAGGTATTTGCAAATATCTAAGGGAATTTATTGGAAAAACTCAGCTCGAAGAATCTGTGCTCGGTTAGTGTCAATGCCTAACAGAGGAAAGCAAGCAGAATTGCAAGTAAATGACCAGATCAGAAGTCCTGTTCATTCATTGAGCCCGAGGGCTCTAACATAAGAGGTACCAGAAATAAAGTAAAAAGTGATTTATCATCATGTCGAGGTCGACTGAGACGGTATGAGGAGCATTTGAACTTACCATATGATCGAAAGAAGTTGCGCAAAGCTACTTGAGCTTTGCTTCTTGTAGAACATCAAGAAAGAAAAACTCGAATCGCGACAGCAAGAAAATATGAAGAAACGCGACAGCGCTGAGCTTGGACCATAGACACACGTGACCTTCTATCTAGCCTCTCCGCCGTGGCATATCGATTCGCAGCTCGCTACCCTAATAAAAGTGGATCGCACACAATTACTTCTCAGGCAATTCTCTCAAAAGTTCATTTTGCAACTCCACGACTCCAACACTGATCATCCAGCATCACCACGCCAAACCGACAAGATGGGCCGACTTCACAGCAAGGGAAAGGGCATTTCTGCCTCCGCTCTCCCCTACTCTCGCTCCGCTCCTGCGTGGTTGAAGACCACCCCCGAGCAGGTTGTTGAGCAGATCGCCAAGCTCGCCCGTAAGGGTGCCACTCCCTCTCAAATTGGTGTTGTCCTTCGCGACAGCCATGGTATTGCCCAGGTCAAGCTTGTCACCGGTAAGGATTGCGCGAATGGAAAATTAAAGATCGAAGCAACTAACGGATAATCGCAGGTAACCGAATTCTCCGAATTCTGAAGTCCAGCGGTACGGTTCCCTGATCGAATAAAGGATGTGGCGGTGGAAACAAATACATCTACAACGGAGAAACACCATCTCCCTAATGCCTCTGTACGGTTGAGACTGACAGAGAGATTTTAACAGGCCTCGCTCCCGAGCTCCCCGAGGATCTGTACATGCTTATCAAGAAGGTGCGCCAGTCATGTCAAAATTTCCTCAGCCGCACAATTTCATGCTAACAAATAAAAAGGCTGTCGCCGTCCGAAAGCACCTTGAGCGTAACCGCAAGGACAAGGACTCCAAGTTCCGCCTCATTCTTATCGAGTCCCGAATTCACCGCCTGGCTCGTTACTACAAGACCGTCGGTGTTCTCCCTCCCACCTGGAAGTACGAGTCCGCTACCGCCAGCACCATCGTCGCTTAAGCGAACATATAACGAAGGATGGCCGTATTGGTTGGAGGTGATGGTTTCCCGGGTCACGGAGTTGGGGGACAAATATGGAAAAAGTTGCATTTAGAGCCATGATGCTTTTTGCTCGCCCCTTCTGGGAGGATCAACAGCGACGTCGACGGCTCAAATAGAAAGCTCTTCGACCGCTGAAAGTACGCGTATGCAATGGGGCATTCTCAACCCAGTGACGATAAAATTATTGAACCTGAACGCCATCTATGCCTTCCGTTACCATGCCAATTGCGTGCTATCGTGGGAAATTTTGTGATAGCTTGAATCTAGCCAGTCCCTTCCAGTTCCTTTGACTTTTGAATGAGATACTCTCCTAGTACCCGGAGGGGATCGTTCGGCCTGTGATGTTGTTAGTCGCCATTCACAAAGCATAAGAAAGACGAGAACTACTTGTCTTTTGCCAATTGCTTCACGCCCTCCAACAATACTCCGGTGACTTTTGTATTGAGATATCGCCGTGTTGAATCGCCATGAGGTGGAGCTTCGGCTGGTATGCTAAGACCAGAATCCGGATGCGCAGAAGCAGCTCTAGAACCTTGCGCCGGGGTTCCTGTTCGTGGAGGTATGGGGCTGGGCGCATGAGTAGCTGGAGCAGGAGATGACTGTTGGAGGTTAATAGTCTGTTCTTTGAATGACGCCTGATACAAGAGAAAGAAGATTGAAGAAGCGAGCCCAGGTAATGAGTGCAAGGTAGACAAAAAATCTCGAGGAGCAGATGGAGGGGGGAGAACATACTGCAGGGTGGTCGACTGGCGCATCAGACATTGTCACATCCTTCTGCAGAGCGTCTGTGGTAGTTCCATTGGCAACAGATTCAGTTGGTGCTACGACCTGCGGTGTTTCTGCCGTTGGCTCTGTTCTGGGAGTTTCGTCAACCATTGTCGATGAGATCAGGCGATGTAAGGTACTCAACAGAATGGCGCTGTTGACAGGTACTTATCGAAGTTGCTAAAGTGAATGGAGGTGCGGAATGTTGTCGCGCCGGTTGATTTTCGGATCAAGATAACTAACGATAGGCACCCCCGCGAGGTCATGTGCTTTCGTGTTCAACTAACGTGCCTACCTTGTCTTTGTCATCGCGTCCACATCTTTAGACATCCATTCGTTAATAGTGTTTCCAACTTCTACCTTTGCCACTCTAGTTAAATCTGGCATGGCTAAAGTTAAATTATGGATGCGTTCGTGACGAGGCTTCCCAAGCCGCAAAGTCAGCTTGGCGAACAAGTTTGTGGTGGCTCACCAGAAAAGGAGAGGCCTTCCAAGCGAGCCAAACGGCAGGGATCACCAGACTCTGAAAGTGGCCTATGCCCCGATTACCACAAGGAGATTTCACCGAGGGAGAATGTGCCCAACAATGAAACAGCTGAAGCAAAATGTCAAATTGAGGAACATCTTCGAATTACGGATATTGAGAGTGCGTTGCCGCCCGCTGCTGAAGGCCAAGAAGCAATCGAGCAGTATGAGGCGATGAAGTCATCACAGGCCTCGGCCCATGTCGAGGATGACACGACAGAAACACCTCAGCCACTTTGGGTTAAAGGACGAAGCTCTATTTATGTAGACGCCTTCAATCTTGCCCTTGATACTGTCCTAGAAGAAGAATCGCATTTATTTGATGAGAAAGAAACCGAGGTTTTTAAACAATGGAGAGAACTGAACTACGAGGCTCAATATCTGTATGCCCTCTACGCATTGCTACAAACCTGATAGTCGCTCACACTTTAAAGTTACGTCAGGCTCTTCCTGAGGAAAACTGCATCATGGCACCGTCATAGCCGTCTTGGATATCATAACGACATTTCGGACCTTGAGGCAGCCATAACCACACTGCAATCGTCTCGTGTTCTGCCAGCGAGCACAGCCACCCCAACACAGAGCCCAGTTCATGGCCTTGAACTTGAAGAGTCGAGACTGGGTGAGACGTTCAGCTTTGCAGATAGATCAGAAGATCATATTAGGTTTGTAGAAGAGGCTGCGTCACTGCTCAGCCTGGACGAGTTGAAAGAGCTTGCCAAGGAAGCAAAAGTCCAAGGACGCAATAAGTCAGAACTCATTCGTTCACTAGTAAAGATGAGCAAGCAACAGTCTGGATTGATGTCGGTCGGCCTCAGCAGACACAACAGCCGTGGTTCTGTTTCCGAGGACCTGGAAAACTGTGATGCAAAAGTCATGGGAAAGGACACCGCAAACCTTCGGCGAGAAGATTCGAATCGAGAGCAGCATTTTCTTACGAAAATTCTCGCTATACTTGGGCCTTGCATTCGATTGTCGCCATCAGCTTTCAAACTTTTTGAACGGGTGCATCTTGTGTTCTACCGATCGACGGAGTGGACAGAGAAATCACTAACAACAATCATTCTTGCTAAAATTGCAAGACGTCATTTTCCCGAATACATTGTGTGCCGAACTTCGACTATATTTGCGTCACGCCTGCACCTACTGGAGTATGAAAATGCCATCCGTATGGAGGCCGAAGTCGATGCATGGGAGTTCAGTAGCCCACCCGGAGAGGAGGGCCTCAGACAGATGGTCAACATTTTTGAGAAGGTTTACCCGCGATGGAGGATACTGGTTGAAGAAGAGCAACACAAGGAACATACAGTCTATGAAATGGGAGAGGGTGCTTACTTGAGACGGTTTACGCCAGGCCATTCTTATACAAGAATTGTCCATAAAGCAGCGCCAATTTTTGGAAAGCTCAAAGAACATCTTAGAGAGCATAAACTACTCACTGAGCTTCTCGACCAACGGTTGTTCCATCCAGCAAGACGAGGTGGCTGGTACCAACGAAAGGCTCTTCTGGAGGAGCATTATATGCCAACTTTGGACCCGAATCCCAAATTCACAGACCCCGAACAGCAGAAGAAACATTGGAAGAAAATCGCAGTTGCTACTTGTGAGGCTGGCCTACAAGACCCGGACTGTCATCTGATCTTTCACTATGACCTGCAAAAACGCCTTGTCAAGCTGGAAAAGAAACTACGTATACCACGTCGCTTACAACACGATTTTGGCCATGTTGATCTGCAAAAGCCTGTCGAACACACCATTGAAGGAATTCAACTCAAGAAGGATATCATTGCCAAGGGCGGTCGCCAAGCTTCAACGAAAACAATATGGCTCGATGAGCTAGACACCCAAGAGGAGTGTAGCGTTGAAGCAATGTGCCTCAGCCAATATCGATCAGAGGGTTGGAAGGGGTATCACGCCGAGGGTGGAATTATCCGCACTCTTTTCGCGTACCTCTTTTACGATGTTCTCTTTATTTATATTCCAAATGTGTTTCAGACAGCATACCAGACATGTCCGCTGGATCTTCACACTGATGCTTTCTACCCGTCCCGAGCATCAGAAATTAATCACAGACTGGTCGAGATTGCCAATGGAGAGGCACCACGACTCATTCGCAAAGTCTGGGAGACAGAACATGAGAGAAGAACAAGTGTGGTGGGCCTGAACTGGGATTTCGAGATTAATGACCTCGTAGAGCTTGTCGGGTGCTTCGAGGGAAGCGCTCTTGCAGCAGTATGCAAGGTGATGGCTCAAGAGTACAGACAACGAGGCAGCGGTATCCCGGATCTAATTCTGTGGCGCACTAACAATATACCAGAAGATCCAAACAAGGTGCCTGGAAGGGCAAGGGGGGAGGTTATGTTCTCGGAAGTCAAGAGCGCCAACGACCGGCTGAGTGATACTCAACGGCTCTGGATCCATGTGCTTACTGGAGCAGGGGTGAAGGTTGCGCTCTGCAACGCCATAGCAAAGGAAGTGAGGGAAGTGGGTTGATCCCATGTCCATGGCCAGAATGAACTTCGTGCTATTGAATCACATTTCATGGCAAGAGGGGGACAGGGCATTTTGGTTTCCATTAAACTAAAAAGATGCATCTTAAGTTCCAAACTACCCTGCAATTTCACATTGCATTCAACCCAGTCAAACCATGGGGCGGCGATCTTCTCGTTCTGGAAAGACTATGATTATTTACATGCGTATGAAAAAGAGAGGTTCTAGCTAGGAGTGATGATCCGACGATCTAACTTTTGAGCCAAAATTAGCAACTGGGAAAGCATATTGGAAACATGATCTAGGGGCGTTGTTCCACCCAGCAGCCGGGTCACAGCGGTCTCAAACTCGTTTCTAATCTCAGACTCAAGGCTGAGGATTCCTCCTTGGTTTCAGATAGGCGGGAGGCGTGAGCTGGGAATCTCGCCTGCATGGTAGCCAATGGAAGGACTGCGCGCGAGACGATGTGATGCGCAGGGTTGTCACATCACCACATGCGTATCTCGTCACTGGCGCATTCGGTGGGTTGGGCGAGTCAATAGGCTATGGGGACTCTTACTCTAGGTTCTGTAGCCTCTCGGAAGCATCCTCTGCTTGCTGGACACGATGCCACGAGGAGCTGGGCTTCTGGGAAACAGGAGATTACGCGGGGTAGCTCGGGCTTTTTTCACCTGTCGGACTTGTGCCATGGTAATCGGGTGATAGTGTCCCAGGACCTTGGTCACCTGGATGACAAGAGGTGATGAAATGAGCTTGAGTTTGGGTTAGGCGTGAAGAGCCTAAGCTTAAGTTTACGGGCAGTGAGGTTCAACATATGGTCACAGGCTGGTGCGGACCAAAGATTCACGTCCTCACGTCCTTGGTGACAATACCACTGGAGGCCATTGGAAACACGCCAACTGGTCTACTAGCGCATTGTATCCCTCGCAGTAGCTGGGTAGTATGCGCGAAACAAATCGACAAGAGTAGAAACGAGAGCGAGAGGGGGAGACGCAAACACAGACGCACCTGAAGCAAGACAACACGACACGACATATAGCGCAGGCATTACCATTACAGACCATACAGGATAGACAAGAAACAACGCTTCTGCATGTTGCCATGTCCTCAATCCATCAAGAATCCCAACCCTCACAAATACAAATCGAAATCGTCGACCCACAGCCCTGGGCGCTTAGCACGGATCCAATCATGTCAACTCGCCCTCTATGGTGAGTGATGGGCTCTCCCGCCTTGGCCAATAGCACATTCAAAGTCCATCGCCCGGCGCTTACAAGCCCAGTTTATGGGGCTCCCTGATTCCGCTTGGACCAGGGTGCTGGGTCGCCAGAAGCTAGAAACCACGCCGCTTTTAAGTCTAAGTCTTTCTAGTGGTCCATCACCCAGGGGTGATGAGAGGGGTGCCGACAGTGGGCGGGCTGTATTGAAAGGATTCCTTCAAGTTCGAATGGTTCCTTCGTACTGAAATCGCAGCGCAGCGCAGTGAAAAATGCAATAGTCCGAAGGAGAATAAAAGAAGCACAATAGTGAGGGAACAAGGACTGCCAATGCTTACCATGGCACTCTCATATGCCGCTTTCTTGCCTTGCCTATATCTGTCTATCTCTGCATGCGTCCCGTTCCTGTGGCCCAAGAGCTGGCCTAGTGGAGTGCATACATCCATGGATACTTGATTCACGTCTTTGCATCTCATCACAACGCGGACCGAAATGCAGAATCAAAACAAGTCAACAAAAATGTTCTTGATCGCTCACCCCTGGGTAATCCATCATTCGAACGAAGCCTGGGGCTTGCTGAGATGATCTCTCAGAGGTGCTTCGCGACCCATGCTAAGTTTTCCGACAAGGAACAAGGATGTATCCCATCACTTGGGAATAGAAAGAAAATAAGGCAGATTGAGAGCAGGTGGGGTTCAGAGAAGCTTCGAGCTGGTAGCCGTTCTGTAGGCCGCCAGTGCGACCAAGATACGCATCGAGGATATACCCGTCGTGGGGCCTGTTGTTGAGGCCATGACAGATCCATTATAAACAAACAAGCAAACAAACAAACAAATAGATGATCAATAGCGTGACGAGATCCCCAATCAGACAAACAGAACGAAACTTGCAAAAATGGTGACTCAGTCCAGGCTGATGGACTTGGCTCATATGATCAAGTACGTATCAGTCAGTCGGTTTCTGTCACCAACACAGCACAAATCAGGGCACGCGACAAAATTGGTGTTTAAACAGCCCATGGCTTTATGAATTTTTGAGTAACGGCGTTTCTAAGAGCTGATTCTGCGCCCGATACACGGGGTTACCGAAGCTCAAAGCGTTGTTCAATTCTTCTTCTGACGGTCCCCTCCCTATCCTTAACTAACCCTGTTAGAGGGTCGCTGTCGACTACGTCCTAGTCGCTGATCTCAATCCCTTCTCCCCCGAGCCTCTCCAAATGTGCTGGTATCGTAATTCTTGGTCCATGCTCTGCCCCCAGGGAATAGCACATCCAAGTTGGTAATGAAATTTGTAGAACGCCATCAAACTCCTCCAATCGTACCTCCCAGCCCCCCCCTTCCCGACTCAACTCCTCCCAAGGCGTATCAAATAAATATCAACAAGAGAATGCTTGAAGGTCAAAAAGACGACTGTTTTCGCCGCCACCAGATGTCGAAGGCCTGCTCCATATTTCGCCTTGAGGTGTGCATCCTCGTCGTTTTTCGGTATATTCTTGGTTGCAATGCATGTCTAAACAAAAGAAATTTCATGAAGTATTCGAAGGATCGTTAAAGGTATGAGTTGATTGAGTAGATGATCGTTTTGAGTGTGAACATGATGAGTGGGGTAGATAGTGATTCGCTCAGTAGGTTTATTCCACCTTTCGTCTCTTGCCCTTTGGTGCTGGTGCCATTCTGGGTGTGTATGTGACAGTTCTTGTCACTACCTCTCGGATGTGTCGCACGCTTGTCCGTGAGGCCTTCTGCTTCTTCTCTAGTAGGCGAGCCTTGAGAGCAGCGTCCCAGTCAAACACTGAATGGACCGGTCTGGCACTGAAGGGTGATCGAGCGGTGCTTGCGCTCAATGGCGAGTCAATATTAGAGACGCTGGGACTGGGAGGCACCTTGAGGCTGGGGAAACAGGCAGGGCCAGTGGGAGGAGCAGACATAGGCGTGGAGCAGGTGAAGGGACTAGGGGGCACCATAGGAGCCGTCGCTGGGGGAGTTGGACGGGCAAATTTCTTTGTAGTGCTTGAAGCTGAAGTCGGAGGAGTGCCTTCTTCACTCTTGCTGGAGGTGTCGGTTTCCTCGCTAGTCGCCGTATCTGGGAGCGAGTCTGGGGTGGTCTGCCCTGAGCTCGTAGCTGGGGAGTTGAGAGCCATAGCCTTGGTGAGGAAGTCGGTATAGGCCATGGGTGGGCTAATAGGCGTCTTGAGAAAGTCTGGATCAGGTTTAAATGTAAATGAGACGGCCGAGATGGGCGTTGCCGATGTGATCTCTGAAGGAAAGGTAGCGGTGACGGGAGTGGTAAGCTTCCCCAACTTAGGCTTGGCGGTAGGCATGATGATGGTTGAGTTGACGTGGTTGTCGAGATCAAGACTGATGATTATGGGCGAGTTGAAGAGCCTGGGTTGTGTTGAGTATATGAACCAGCAGCCAATCTCAGATGGTGGGGATTAGGAGTACAGGCAGATAGAAGCAGCGAGTGAACTGACTGACTGACTGACTGGAAAAGAAGCGAAGGTGAGAGGGTAGCAAAGGCAGCAACAGACGATTATAAGGAAAGGACTGCGTCAAGTATTTGGCGCCAGAGGATGAAATTGGGGAGAGGTGGGCGCTTGAAGAAGTGAAGGGGGTGTGAAGCAGTTAGAACAATGTGGGGCTATGACGGGCTGTGAGAGTGAAGGGGTAGAGGGGTGTAATGAAAGAGACGGCCCCAGCTGGAGGTGTGGATAGGTAGGTAAGGTAATCTACCATACGGGATACCACCAGGCTGGGGCCGGGCGCGTGTACTTGAGCCCGTACCAGACACGAACAACCACCAAAGCACCATCAGAAGTAGGGAAACGCAGGACGATAGGTAGAACAGCGACAACACAGCAATAACAAGCGCGTACAGAGATGCAGGATCAGGCCAAGGAGGGCGGTAACTACACAAGAGACCGTGCCATAAGCCCGTGAAGGGATGTGTGGTTGTAGTTATCATTGATCTGTTGCTCTTCTCTGAGTTCTCTGCATCACTTCGCAGCGTGTTCAGCTTGTCTCATGGTCTGTGTGGTCTGCAAGCTTGCGACGTGAAGATGTGACTGTGTGGTTCTGCCAGCCGGACAGTGACAGTTGTGCAGTATTATGCTACACAATGTCACTCTGTCTCCGCTAGACCTTTGTTACCGCACAGCAGCCGCCAATGGGTAGTTGGTTGGTGGGTGGGCGTCATGCTGGTGACCAAGAGAATTCAGGTTGGTTGTGTTAGACTGCTTGGACTGACTGCACAACTCTTGTGTCTACCTGAGGTAGTTGATGGTTGATGGTGTCGTGGCAGAATAATTCCAAGCCAACGCCTGTACCCAAGCTGTGATTGAGGTCTCGTAAACTCTCTTCTTTTTCAGGTGAGAAACACGAGCAATAGTACTGGACATGTTGGTCGGCGGCTCAACATTTCAGTGTCCATTCATCATGGTTGGTGGGCAGCCAGCGAGACGAGGCGCTGTGATGGTTGTAAGTTGCAAGGGCCGAAAGGTTGGATTGGGATTGGCTGACTTTGGCGGTGATAGTCGCGTTAAAAGCAGCATCAACCGCCTACGCCAACTCGAGAATAGGGCCAGGCAACTGACAGGGGGCGGGACGTCTGCTGATTCGATGGAACAGGGGGTCAATCAAGTGTCCCTAATGGGAGTTTAGTTAGCCTCTTTGCTTTTTTTATTCTCGAATACGCCCTAGTCACCTGTCATCCTGGCTGAAATCTCCCTCTCAGGGAGCTGTTTGGTCGCCGGAGCCGTTGTTGGCGCCGGGGATGGCTTCCTGGCCCAGATGGTCGGGAGGAATGTGATTCGACCAAGGCAGGACTCATAGTAAGCCTGGGAAAACACATGCGCAACTCTCTCCGGCTCTCACAAACTGGTCTGTTTTTGGCTCACGGCGTGTCAAAGTACCGAACGAATAGGATCTCATCCATGGCCTTTTTCGCAATTCTGACAGCGACGAGGTAGGTTTGATGCTGACGAGTAACGGTTGATGCTTTGCAGCTGGATGGCTTTTTGGTGAATTCTTTCGTAACTATTACGAGGATGAAGCTGGTTTGTCTTATCATTGAGGGCTATCTCGGGTCACAGTTAATGAATGATGGAGGGGAACCTGGGAACACCTGGTGTGCTTAGAAAGGGATGAAAAGTAATCTAAAAATTCTATTTTGAACAAATTAGTGTAGTTAAGTATGAATTCCCTAGGTAGGCATTCACTTTAATGCAAGAATATTAGAACTTAATAAAGTTATGTTTTCTTCGTAATACTTTCGGAGATTTAATTACAATTCTCTTTAAGCATCTCCAACAAATATGCCCTCAGCTAGTCTTCCTCCTCAACTGAAAGTGTATATACCTTGATCACTACTTCAACTGGCTCCATCCTTGATCTCAATCATGATGGGAAAGTTCGCAACCGGCAACAACTCCTGACGTGACGCTTATTGGGTGAGTTGTCAACCAGGATGAACATCTCGGCGAATAAAAGGTGTGGTCGGCCAATTCCAATGAGTGGTCATGTTTGTTGCCGTCAACTAACAGGAGATACCAATCAGCGACCAGGGACTTTTCCTACAAGACAAATGACCACCAATCAGCGGCTGAACATTAACGACTTGCCATGCAGCATCAAACCAGAGATTGGTCGGTCAGGAATACCTTCAAACAGCCAATGACCTTGATAAAGACATTTGGGCTGCAAGTCGACGCGCGCGCAAATAGACTCGAGCTGGTTGCAAGGGCTCTGACAAATTCGTTTACGGAACCTCATTGTGTACGAAAACCGATACTGTGGTTGGCTTCGATATATCGGCCTTGTCTGGCGATACGCGAGACAACTCGGTGGCCTCGGTCAACTCTGGTTGGAGAAGCGCGCGTCAAGGCGAGGCATAATTGTTGCAGCTATTCTTGATGGGTTGCTTGACCAACACGTATTAGACCGTTCAATCTTCAAACAAAACACATGGCACAGGAAATGTATAATTGGCTCTCCCGGCATACTATCCATAAGCGCCATTGATAATGGATGTCAGGACGAGTTTGTTGAAGACACATCATGGGCCGCTCTTGTAGACTTTGGTCTTGGTTATCGCTCCAGACATGGCGTCACGCGTATGACCAGCAGTTGGTCTGAACTTCTGAAGCGGCGGTTGCTCGAGGTACTGAATATGATGACCAATACCTGCGCTTGTTGGTCATGCATCTGGATCATTGTCATTCTTTACTGTGTCGCGCGCTCAACAGAGTTCGGTGGTATAACAAGTGATGATACAGGATACAATACCGAGATCTATGAAAGATAGGCTTCATGTCGCAGTCAAGAAGCCCTGATATGATATAACGGCGGCCTAGGTCGGCTCCCCCGTCCCGCTAACCATGGTCTATTGTGGTTTGTACCGTTCATGGATGAACGGCGTATGGGTATTGATGCTGGACCGACTAGATAGGTGAAGGAAACCTCAATATCCCTTGCTGACTACCTACCTAGCTTGGTAGATAGCGACTTCTGTGACAGATAACTTCCACACCTGCACTGTCCGAGCAGGTAGCCCTGTGGTCCTACACTTTGACTGGGTACAGGGTAACAGTGTCATCGTTAACCTACCTTGATCTTCAACAACACTCACTACATATGCCATCCTGCTTTCGACCCAATAGAGTCAGGGAAGATAATGAGGTTAGAAACTAGGCTCGAAATTGATTTTCGGCCAGCAAAACCATAGAGGGAAACTCACTCTCAGCTCTATTGCCTGAATTTGCACTGACTTTGCTGAGGTACCCTAGGTAAAGTGCCTTCGAACACCTCTACTTCGCTCTAGACTATAAAATCGCATAAAAACCGGACAGCATAAAATGTATTCACTTGACTCAACCAGTGCTAATGTACCACCGCGAGGTATATCTGAGTAGGTGTTTTGTTAATTAGAAATTCCCTTTAGGTAGTCACCGCCAACCTTAGATAACCCAGGACGATACCCGTTAGAACTCCTGGTTGACTATGACCGTGGGTTTCAGGTTACCTCAATTACAGAACACAGACCTCATGTATACTGCTTAAGTAAAATATAGAGATATCATTACGTCTACTGCATATTAAGTATCTCAGAACGCTTTAAGAGAAATCAGGAGGGAGATATTTAAAAGACGGTTGACTACCTTAATAAGCGTCACATAACACCACGACCCACCTTCTTTTCCAGACTGGAGCCTGACTGCCCGCCTGCCTGCCCACATAAGCCCGGGTCTCTGCTGCCTGCTATCGTGCCTTCCGATCCAGCTCCCCCACCGTACCGTCCCGCCTTCCCGTGCTAGGTTAATGGTCGGGCAGTCCGGTTAACTGCTGTGAGGTGGAAAGAGAGTGTGTGACTTTTATTTATCATCATCTTGAAGGCCGCTGTTTCAACAAAAATCTTCTTTTCCATCAACAACCTGCTTGTCTCCTCTTTACGCTCACTGTTGTCGACTTTGTCAAGACGGCCAATACATTTTAGCACAGGCCTCGTTTCCCCCTGCTGGGAACCATATTACAGCGTGTTTCTGCCTACCGTACCTACCTATGCCGAATTCAATGGCCCTGGCTCCGTCATAGGCACCCCTCTTGGCCTCACTTGACCCTGACTCGACCCTCCGTCACAACTCGCTACAGTGCCATTCCATTCCATACCTACCATACATCATCCTACCTTACCCCAGGCTATACGTACTTGGGTCCTTTACATAAGGCTATCTGCTGTTAGTCACCCGCCCTCAAACGCCAACGCCACCTTCGATTTCTGCTCTGTACCCTCAGACATCCTTCCATCCTTGGTCTTCTCCCAAGACCTCCCTTAAACCGCCACGATTCCCCCCACCACGAGGAAGCGGAAGGCTGCTGAGGCGACGATTTCCTCTGCCAACAGAGACGAAGAGCCCAACAAGAGAGTCATCGCCTCAGCTGCCGTCGTAGACAAACACGCTCTGCCCCCAACTCCACTCACCACCGCCAGCAACCCCATGGATTCCGAGGAGGAATACATGTCGGCTCTTTCGAGCGACGACGAGATAATGCAAGACGATAGCGGCGATGAGATCTCCGCAGGTGAAGGTGTGTTTCCCAATATCCTCCACGACCCCCCATATTCGATCACCTTGGTTACTAATGATGTTGACATCACAGATTTCGATGACGAAGAGTTCGACGAGCCCGATCCTGACTTTGGTCTGATTAAAGATGCAGAGAAGAAGAAGAAATCCGCACATGTAGTATCATACAAAGTTTATGAACCGAGCGATATTCAACGCCAACAGGATGACATGATCAGCGAAGTCAACATGATTTTAGACATGCAGAAAGAGGACGCGGCCATCTTGCTTCGCCATTTCCGATGGAACAAAGAAAGGTTGCTTGAGGATTATATGGACAGACCAGAAAAAGTCCTCGAAGCTGCTGGATTAAGCAGCAATACATCTAGCCCCCCAAAGCTGGAGGTTATCCCTGGTTTCACATGCGACATATGCTGTGAGGATGAGGAGGGCCTCGAGTCATTTGCCATGAAATGTGGTCATCGGTACTGTGTTGATTGCTACCGGCACTACTTGACACAAAAGATCCGTGAAGAGGGTGAGGCTGCTAGGATCCAATGCCCCTCTGATGGATGCGGTCGCATCCTTGACTCAGCGTCACTTGATGTTCTGGTCACCCCAGCACTCGCAGATCGATACCAAGAACTACTCAACAGAACGTATGTCGAAGACAAGGACAATTTTAAGTGGTGTCCTGCCCCAGACTGCCCCAACGCTCTCGAGTGCGGCGTCAAGAAGAAGGACCTGAGCAAGATCGTCCCTACTGTCGAGTGTCGATGCGGGTATAGATTCTGCTTTGGTTGTCCGAACCCCGACCACCAACCAGCTCCCTGTGAGCTCGTTAAGAAATGGCTCAAGAAGTGCGCCGACGACTCAGAAACAGCCAACTGGATCTCGGCTAATACCAAAGAATGCCCAAAGTGCAACTCGACGATCGAAAAGAATGGAGGCTGCAACCATATGACTTGTCGAAAGTGCAAATATGAGTTTTGCTGGATGTGTATGGGACTTTGGTCTGAGCACGGCACCAGCTGGTATAACTGCAATAGATATGAGGAAAAGAGCGGATCTGAGGCTCGTGATGCACAAGCTAAATCTCGGACGTCTCTTGAACGATATTTGCACTACTACAACCGATATGCCAACCACGAACAATCGGCCAAGCTCGATAAGGATATTGCTCAAAAAACCGAAAAAAAGATGGTTCAGCTTCAGACAGCTTCGGGAATGTCCTGGATTGAGGTTCAGTATCTCAATTCCGCGTCCCAAGCTCTCCAAACATGTCGACAAACGCTCAAGTGGACATATGCTTTTGCTTTTTATCTCGCCAGGAACAACCTGACAGAGATTTTTGAGGATAACCAGAAGGACCTCGAGATGGCCGTGGAGAACCTGTCTGAAATGTTCGAGAAACCCACTGCAGAATTGTCTGACCCCAAACTCAAGGTTGATATCATGGACAAAACTTCATACTGCAACAAGCGTCGCGTCATTCTCCTTGAGGATACAGCCGAGAACCTTGCAATTGGTATTGTCACCCTGATCCCTTCCATTTTTCCGTTCATTTGACTGATGTTCGTGCCTTTAGGTAAATGGATATTTAACGCGGACCTATTAGCTGCGACCACTTCTGCGCCTGTCAACCGTCGCTAAGGCTCAATCATGACACGATGCCAGAATCATCACCAGCTTCTGTCGAGCACAGAATTGGCTATTTCAGCACAAAGAAGTCAGAGAAACCATTGGCCTAGATACCAACCATTGCCGTATATCAAGGCTATGGCTCCGGTGGCTGACTGTCTTACTCAACCTTGAACTTGCACAAACATCGGATTTGGTGAATGTAGCACAGCAAGGTTACGCAGGAGAAGAAGATTCGCCCAAACCTGGTGGCTGCCCTCGTATCTACATGGCTGACTAGAATTTGGCCCCATCATTTGTTCTTACTTGCTGTTCTTCCATAGTTCCCTCGTCGTCAGTCACCGTGACCTGCTACCCCCTGGAAATTGACGAGGCATGGGATCATGGCGTTGGCCTGTTGCCAAAGGCGTTGGCGTGAAGAAAGGGTTATACTGCTGGAGCCTGGAAGATCTCGGTTTTATAGACTTGTTATGGCATGGTGTTTTCAGCTCTCAATGGTACGGATCATGATATTCAATAAGTGGGCACATAAATGAGAACAATCACATATGCTTTGTTTGCTTTTTTAGATATTCAAGAATGACTATAGTGTAGCACTGCTACAAATCGCACCAAGGCAATCTTCGTGACGACATAACCTATTCCCAAACTCAAGTGATGGTGAGGGTCATACAGACTGGATGCAATTGGGGACGTTGTGGTCCAAATTGTATTATTTTATAATCTCAGTCACAAAATGATATTGCCAAAACGCCTATCTGATATTTGACTTACCCATGGTGTCTTCCGTTATTAAATGCATAGACACTGACACACTAGTTCCGTAAGACACCAGCTCCGCCCATGGTCTGTTCTCCCCGTACAGTTTAACTGCAGTTACAACGTAAGAGTACAAGGATAAAAGGAAGAACGCCCAATAAATGCTATGTTCATTACGACCAGTCTCACATCGAAGACCTTGTTGACTGTAAGATGAGAGAGGTTTCAAAGCAAGGATGTAAGTTCTATGCGAATGCAAAACGTGATAAGTTGAGTTTCTTCGGAGGAAGGTCGACCTCATCTTCGTCTTCCTCGTCACTAGCGGGGATGATTTGATCTTCGCTTCCACATTTATTAAGATCCGCAACCTCATCCAGATTGACCTTGGGTAAGGGTACAAATGCAGGGTTGATAGGTACACCAGAGAGGAATTGTTTATCGGTGTTGTTGCGTGGTTTCGGCAGCTTGGGGGACATGGGGCCGTTCATCGCACGAGCACCAAGACGCTGCAGAGGCGTCATGCGAGAAGCTGCAGTTGATGGTGCAGTTGAGGGGGTAGATGCGGCACTAAAGACGGAAGAGCGGCGTGATGCAGTTGAAGCAGGTGTCTCGGCTGGCTTAGTATAAGTGAACTGGCGAATATCTGGTCTTGAGGGGGTAGAAGAAACCCGCGATGCAGAAGCCGCAGACGAAGGTGGAGGCATGGAAGCGTCACAGGATGACATGAGGGTCTCGTCATCCTTGACGAACGAGACCTGGCTCTCGCTGTCTGCAGTTGTTGAAGTCTCTTGGCTCTGTTTCTCTTCAAACACCGAGACACTTTTATTGGGTTTATCGGCAGGCTTCCAACCCTCAAAATCAGGTAGGGCCAGAAGCGCTTCGTCGAGCGAATCATCAGAGAACAGATAAGCATCGCTCTTCGCCCGCCTTGGACTCCTCCGTAGTTTCGGTGCAGGGAAAAACCTGCTCTTTTGTGGCAAATCTTCCTCAGGTCCAGCCTCGTTGTCGTCACACAAACGCGCTTTCTTGGGCGGTCGGTTGGCAGGGTCAGTCGAAGCGACGGCAGTATTGCGGCAAGGCTCGGTGCCTACAGAAGACGTACGCCTTGTGGTAGTAGGACTGTTGACAAAACTGTTGAGCATGTTGGTAATGGGCTCCGTACGGCGGCGATGAAGTCTTGGGGATGTGCGGGTGCGATTCACATCCGACCCCCGTGAGTGACTCGGAGCAGCCTGGGTTGTTTCATCCAGATACGGCCTGGGGAGCGGAAACACACGGGGTACCAATCCTCCTCCAGTAATCTGGGAAACCCTCTGAGGGTCAACTTCAAAACAATTGGGATCCATCTCACCCATGGGTATCCGGCTGGATCCCTTGAAGTAAGAGCTGATTGGCTTCATCGTAGGCGGAGGCTGGTCAGTGGCACCATGAGCTAGCTGTGAATGCCTTCTCTTGGACGGTGTTGTCGAGGTGACAATTAAAGTCTTGGTGATTGGGTTCATGTCGCCTCTGGCGATAGATCGTGCTATCTCAGGCTCTACAAAGGCTCCGATGAAGGGCATCTCCTCTGCCGTCCGTACTCCGTCCAGATCTGTAAGGTGAACCAGCTCCCGCTTGGTAGGACAAAAAACCCACTGATGCAGGAACGTCAGTTCGGCTTGGTAGAACTGCGTCAAGTAATTTTCGGACACCTTCTTCCCCTGCATCTGAACCATCCGGACTATCCGTTCTGGTGCCTTTGTCTTGCGAAGCATACGATACGCTGTCTTTAACCCCATGCCTGGGAGTCCGCGCAAATAGTCGCAACCACTGAAGATGGCCATTCGTCGAAATTCGGTATCAGACCAACCAGTCAATGAGACCTCTCTGCAGGCACAGAAATCCTTGCGGTTGATCTCTATACAGTTGCCATATTGGTCCAGTTTGGTGAGAAGCTTTTTAGCGCCGAAAACAAGGAGGTCAGAGTCGTCGGAGATGATGCCATTGATGAGACCCTGTCGCTCGAGATAGACAAGTTGTGCGTCGGCTTCGTAGGGGGCGACAATGTAAGGAATATCAAGCTTTTTGAGCAGTTGAATGAGAGCAGATGCCATCTCGGGAGTGATGTCGATACATTTCTGGAACTCCTGTGTGGCCTGGGCAGGCTTTCCAGCGCGCAATAGTTCCATTGCAGCCCTTTTCTTCTCATTTCTTTTCGTTTCCCGAGATTCTTCTGTAGCAGCTTTGCTTGGGAGAAAATCGCCATCGAATACCATGTAGGGTGTCACACCAAAATGTCGAAGCATGCGTACTCGATTCATGGCAGCATGTAGGTATCTGGTAGTGATATTAGCGTGCTTCGTTGTCGTACAGTTGACTTCTCCAACTTACTTTTGAGTTGGCTTTCCCTGACCAAGCTCTAATGCACAGCAATAGGCGGCACGATGGAGCCAACCATACGCGTCAACTCCGAGAATTTGGCCATCGTACTTTTTGAGCTGGGTCGGCTTCTGAATCGATTTGAGAAGAGGTAGAAGCCCTCAAGAACGGTCAGCTTATATAGAAAGAATTGGATATTCCGCGAGATATGTACCTGATACACCCATGTTGAAGACTGGAAGGCTGCAGTGCTAGTGGCGATTATTGTTCGTTGGGCTTTGCAGTCGCAGCCCCAAAAGGGACTTGGGCAGCTTCAAGCCAGAACGGTTTGTCTTTTCATGCGTCAACAATTAAACATTGAGATGGGCCGTAATGAGCTCTGTTGTGACGTGGATAGACGCGTCGAAAAGTTGATAAAGACGCGGTGGCGGATCGTGTAGCGGTATCGAGGGCGGCGATAATTAAATGAACAGATCGGTCTAGTAAAACAATGAAATTGGGATAGAACACAGCCAAGTCCGCAAACAAATATGAGTTACAATCTTGTCGAGAGGCTGAAGGTGCGGCCGCAGGTCAAAGGTGGTTGAAAGAGACGTCTCTGGAGGTGGAGATATTTTGCCTGTGATGATCAATAAGGTAGGTCAACAACCTCGGACTAAAAAGCACTTAGTGGGCTGCCTTGGCTGGGACGCGACCCCTGAAGCTTCCGTTTTAATGGGCTCCATAGGCGCGTCGATAGGCGCGGTGTTTCCATTCCTTAGATCACTGAACCCCTGGGATAAGCCTAGTTCCCGCTGCCCGGTATTTCCCTAGCAACTTGAGATCGATAAATACCCCACTGAAGATGTCGTAGTTACCCTGCAACTTTAATGCATTATATTTGCGACTTACCTATTTATCGGCGAATGAGACATATGAACCATAGAAACTTGATATTAGTCCCAGGTATGCGCCATGCCTAGGTAATGTTGATCGAAAATCACTGCATTAGCTGTATGGTAAAATTGGTAGTTAAAGTACCCTATCTCTCAAGCCACTATCACTTACCATCCAGTCGCGACGAATCCATATACAATGATCAAATCAACCAAATATTAAAAACACTGAATATGCGTGCGACCGAGGAATCAATAAGGGAAATAAGCACAGAAAAGATATTATAATATTTTCTACTGAGACATAAATACATATACTAAAGTGTTTTGTCGATTCAGTAAGCCACCCTCAAAAGTCGACTGTATATGCATAGAAACCTTACTGGCCCATCATGACAGCTGTGGAGCACTAAAAGTTCCCATGTCAGAAAGAAAAAAAAATCCTTGCAAGTCATAGCCACGACCTCGCAGTTTGTACAAGCCGACTATATTCATATTCAGCACCCAAAAGATAAAGAATCGCCATGCCTACCACCCTTCACAAGACACGCAAGCAGATTTCCAAAAAGAGAAATGGTGTCATTAATGCTCTACATGAAAAGTCCAGAGACTCAATGCGCCTTCACAAAGCTGGTGTAAGAGATCAGCGTATCGAGAAACTTGCAGCTGCCAGGAGTAAAAAGGAACAACCTCTAGGTACACTATACACAATCGAGTCGGCCAACTCTTAAAATATCTAACTGCCTTTTAGTCGACCGTGTTGCTTTCTTTCAACAAGCTCTACGCCTTAAAGACAGAGATAACAAAGGCGCCCCGGAAATTGATGAGGTTCAGCGCATGATTCACACGTAAGTCTGGAGGAAGATTCCTAGTTACAAAGGCTACTAAGGAAGTCCTAGTTTCGTTCATCAATATGATGAAGAGTATAATGAAGCTAAGAAGGCCCGTCGCCCTGGCCGTCCTGCTAGTGTGAAAGAGGACCTTCTCAAAGCCAAAATCAACATACTGGAGGAAGAGTACAAGGGTGGTTTTGGTACGTTCTGTGAACCTACATGGATGATCGAGGGAATTGACATTGTGACAGTTATGCCTGATCTCTTGGACAATGCAAATGTGAATGCACTTCACCTTTGGGAAGGCTCCTGGTCATATCTCACTCAATTGAAATGGGTCAAGGTCAACAGTGAAGGCCAAGTCAGACCGACCAGCTTCCCATCGGGCGGCACCAACTGAGTATCTGGCATATCAGGATGCCTTGAATCAATAACACAACTGGAAGTGGGTGACTGCCGTCTTATACCCCGGCGAGCTCAACCACGCAGTAGTTGTACAAGAATTACTTGAAAGACCGGGCCAAAGCGGCGAGATCATAACCCCCATCAAGTGCTCAGCATGAACACCAAGAAAGTGCAATACAAACCGCTTCTATAGGTCCGATGAACAACGGATATATCGCCACCATCCTCTTACCGCAAACAACGCGGGAAGATTCTAGAAGAGCAATAGACACGAACAAGCTGCCTGGACATCCCATCCATGATCTTGAGTGATGGGTAGGTATCGTGTTGGAGGATGACTTCATTCACACGATCAGATTGGAATTAGATGGAGAGAAAAAGAGTCTACAAGTCTTCCTGCGTTTACAATTCTTACATTACCCACAGCTCTGCAGTTATTCCACATCGATGGCGACTCAAATTACATGATGTTCAAACGGGGAAATCTTTTGGCAAGGGAAAAGTTACCTGAACCGTCCCAGCATTTCTATACCCATGACTAGCCTATGGACTGCCTATTATATAATGCAAGTTTCATTGAATGTTGATAATATTGGATGCTACTATGTTCAACTGCCAGTGATTTTCATCGGTGAAACTTCCATTGCTTCCCTTTGCACCCTTGAAGTGTTTCCACGCCACGTGATGGTAATGCCCCGCTCTGATTGAAGAGATCGTCCAGTCTGGGTCCAGTAAATTATTAGCAAACCCGCCGGAAAGTTGTCGTTCCCAAAAATTTCAGGACGAGCTTTTGAACTACTTTGGAAGCTTCTATCATCATCTATACAACACAAATTTCTTCCAATTCCCTCAACAACGACCTTTTCTTCTTACCTATACGCTTTATACAACTTTATACCAGTCCCTCAATAATTTAATCACAATGTTCTCTGCCCGCAACGTCGTCCGATCTGCGCCCCGCGCTGTCTCCCGACTCTCAGGCGTTGCTCTGCGACAGACCGCCCGTCCCAGCGCCTTCACCAAGGCTGCTTCTGCCCTACGACCCGCCCAGGCTGCATTCTCTACCACAAGCCTCCGTAAGGCTACCGAGAACGATGGCGAGCTTAGCGCCAAGCTCGAGAGCGAGATCAAGATCGAGGAGGACATCAAGGCCAGCGAGCAGGACCCTGCCAGCATCAAGGACTTCTTGAACAACAGTGCCTTTGAGCTCGTTGACACACCCGGCCAGGAGATTGTCAAGCTGGTCCGTGACTTTGGCGATGAGAAGTCAGTATTCGCAACTCCCATTGGTTTCAATAGGCAACTAACAACGCTATTGCAGGATCACCGTCAGCTTCTCCATTGCCGACATCACCAACTATGACCCCTACGCTGAGGAGAGCGCACTCGAGGAGGAGGGCTTTGAGGATGAAGGCGCCCAGGGCAGCCAGCGCAACGCTCGCGCCAACGAAGAAATCGATGAGGAGCTCGACGAGGATGCCGAGGAGGAGAACAACCCCCCCATCAACCTGTCAATTGTTGTCGAGAAGCCTGGCAAGGCCTCTGGCGCCCTTAACATCGATGCCAGCGCTCAGGACGGGCACATTGTTGTCGAGAATCTCTTCTATTACACCGACGCCTCAGTCGCCAAGGTCGAGAGCCCCGACGCCGCCCAGAAGCGTGCTGATGTCTACCCCGGACCTCCTTTCGGCAGCCTCGACGACGACCTGCAGGTCCTCATGGAGCGCTTCCTCGAGGAGCGCGGCATCACCCAGGCCCTCGCTGTCTTTGTTCCCGATTATGTCGATGTCAAGGAGCAGCGAGAATACACCCGATGGTTGAACAACGTGAAGGCTTTCATTGATGCTTGAAGCGGCTGATGAGTCAATCAATGCAATGAAAAGTTTCTCACGATAGGGAAGAGCAGAGGAGTCTTCGGTTTCAGAAATGATGTATTAAAAGTAGGAATTGCCACTCTTGTACTATAGGATAAGATCCACGAGATCAAATGCATGCTAAGATATGTGTAACGATGCGATGTCAGCTCTACTATGCCCTTTTGAGATTGCGATGAGTATATTATGTTAATTAGTTGACTGATTTGACCTGTCACGATTTTTGAGCGAAGTCGATAGTAAGTAATGCATCGTTCAAGAGGATCTTGCTATCTTGTCAGCAATAATCCTGGGCCTCAAAAACTCCCACAACTCCAAATAACGAGTGCGCAAGCCCGCCATGCATTTTCGGGGTTCATCAACTTCTGATTCAAATACCGCCCCCGTGCTACTCTCCGGCGCAATAAAGCTCTATCCCAGAAGTGTCTTTCTGACACAGAAAAGTCCAAAAGAAATATGTCGTCTAACAATCCCAACTATGCTCCTCAATTTCCCTTCAGTTGTTCGTGTTTGCAGCAGAAAACCGCATCTAATGCACGACACAATCGAAACCTCAAAGCAAAGACGAACGTCTACATGATTCCTTCGAGCGACCAGTCACCCTTCTGCGCCCGTTCAAGGACCTCGCGGCCCTTGTCGGTCAGATCGGGCTTGCCATCGTTACCGGTGACATGTTTAAAAAAGACGGGCTGCCACGTTTCCTTGTTGGCCTCACGTTGCCGGGCCTTCTCGCGCTGGGCTTCTTCGAGCTCGACCTTCACCTGGGTAGCCTTGCCATATTGTTTAGCGTGGATAGCATCTGTAACACCACCCCAAAGGGTTAAAGACTCGTTGGGGAGCTGTTTTTCCTTGGGAGGGATGATCTTGGGCGCAACACTGAGGGGTGCAATATCGATAATGGTGTATTGCTCTTCCACGGGTACAGATTTCTGCCACCAGTTAGACTTTTGTACTTGAACACAGTAAGATTACCACTTACAACTGGTCTGGGACCGAGAGTAAAAACAACCTTCTCCTTCCATGGACCACTCAACCGAGCAAGGACATCTTCATCAGGCACGTCTTGAACTCGAGACTTGTCATCGTTATCAGGATCATACTTGAAGACAACGCCATCAATCTTGTTTGTTGTGCGTCCCAGCCAGCCCTCCTCCACATAGTGCAGAATGACCTTGATCTTGGTCTTGGGGCATGTGATGTAAGCGAATTCGCTGACCGATACGCTCAAAGCTCCGCGGAGAAGACCGCCCAGATGGGCCGCCGGGTGGGTAAGCTGGTAGGTCTCCCCATCACGCTTTTCGAGGGTTATGAAGATGCCCATGTTGTGTTCACCGGGAAGGACCTTGACGGAGGTACCTGTGAACTTGGCAGTGATCTGGTCAAAACCGCGGGCAGTGATACCCTTCTCGGGGCAGGTGACATTGAAGGCGCTCACAGGGGGGTGATGTGAGGTCTGCTCAGTAAGATACGAGACGCGAATAAGCTTGTCGTCCTTTGCAGCGCCATGCTGAGGCACAGACAGTGAGACGTTTGAAGCGTTCTTATCACTCTTCGCTGCCACTTTCAGCGCTGAAAGGCCACCCTTGGAGGTGCCATTAGTCTGTTGGAGGCTTGAAGTATCGATCTTCGGGGCGTTATCTTCAGTTTCCCAGTTGCACTACAAAACAGTCAGTGTTTCTGGTATCCAATCGCCATATGATTTCGTAATATCAGCGAAAGCTGAAAAAGCTCACGTACCCTGAAGAATTCGCCGAGACATGAATTGTAAGGTTTGCATGGCTTTCCTTTGGCATACTTCAGATCCTTCGTCAACCAAAAGCGCACGACCTCGAGCATTCGATCGAGAGGGTCATCGGAAGTGCCCATAGCAACGAAGGCATTGGGGGCATCGATATAGGTCCAGTATTCCAAGTTCGGGGTAGGCTCGAGCAACTGCGACGGCAGCGAGAATCTAACTGCTGCAAGATCTGAAACGCCGATGAACCTATCGTCGCAATAAGCGGTCAGCATTAAAAACGAATAATGGCATCATCCGTTGTGTTGAATCGAGAGTCTTTTTGCGTTGCCAGGTTTGCTTCCACTGCTTACTCCGCTCTACGTGGAGCGGAGCTGTCGTCCGATTTCGCTGGCTTGGACCCCAACAGAGCGGTGGAAGCTATCACGGCATGACATCGCCGATGGAGTAATTGTGAGTCTCTTACTTCTTCAAAATCCCCAGAAATGTTCGCAACTTGGAAGTATCGCTCTGCGTCTCGTCAGGCGCGTCGACCGTGGGTGGCGGTGTCGATGACGACATGGTCGTTGATAAGCTTGGGTTTGATGAAAGAAGACGATGCCGGCGGTAGTGGGCGATGCTGTCGATATGGCTTTGGTGAAGAGTAATGACACGTAGCAGGAGTTGATGCGATAGGAGTACAACAAACTGCTGCTAATATAGTAGTAGAAGAAAGACAATCCGGAGGACAAAAGAAAAGATGAGAGGTGGGAGCGAAGAAAAAAATAGAAGTCTTGGGTTGCAGACTGAATCGCAAAAGTCGAGAAAGGAAGCGGGCGGTGTTGTGGTGACGTTTTTGGCGGGGTGGGTTCTTAGTAGGTACTGGTCTGTTAGAGGCTCCTAAATGGAAGTTGGGGGGCTTCAGGTACCTGGTTAAAAGGCTTGTCCATGCTCACAACTCAGGTACCCTACATTATTTCACGCTTCTTGGCTCAAACGGCCTGAGATTGAACGCGAGTGCATCGGCGGCTCTGGATTGGTGGGGTGAGAAGCTTTGGTAAACGTTGAGATGGACTTTGCTCGAGCGTCTTCAGGTACTCAATATTCTGGAGGTATCTATCTGTCTGCAAAGATGATATGCACAATGGTTCTGTGAATCTCGCAACACTGCATCAACTTTGACAAGATTTGTGCAACTTTACAAGGAACATCTGCCCAATGATCGACGCATGGATGCTACTCAACCACTTCGACTGATGCGATTCCCACCTACCTATCGCTGGTTGCACACAACTTGGTCAAGCCAATCATCAGCGCACATGGCATCGTCCCCCGAATTCCGATACTGTCCATTCGTCCATTTTCCCATTAATATTTCGGTAACGGGAGCAAAGATTTCTACTAAACCCAACATTGCATTTCAAGAGCTCGATTCTTGTCAAACAGTATTAGCACGGGGTCTTGTCCAGCTGTACCAATGGTGTCAGCTTGCCCAGTCAACTGGACTACATGTGAACACATTGCTATGGATGCTGGAAGCGGTTGCCGTACGTTGCTCATGACCAGATAGTTCAATACCACATGCTTTCGATACTGGTGATGGCACCAACCGTTTTTTTCACTCCCGGACTCCAGCCAATGCTGATCATCTTGTACTTGATACACCAAGGCATGATATAACTTATTAACCACTCTTTATCAGGTTTACTCGCACCAATGTCGGCCTGAGGCCTTCACATCTTTTATCAACACCGCCAGTTAACAGAATGCTCATATATCCCAGGTACAAACTAGCCTTTACCATATCCACATAACAGTCGGAAGATAAGCCAACCAGGAAACTGTGAATGAAGCTGCTTAAACAGAACCTCATCTGCAATTATGTTGTTTTATATACGTAAGAAATGTTCCCTGGTTATAGGAAATAAGTCCAGAACGGCGCGCAAACTCCTAGCGGAAGCCTTTCGCAATTCTAATAAATGCAGGTGAGCCTCCCCGTCCGTTTTCATGCCATGTACAAGCATTCCATATCCATCCCTCAAGCGCCATGCATATCGGATAATGGCCCTTTGAAATGAGCCAGGCGCACAGTGCTGTTTTTGGATCTGGTAAGCACTGCTGCTGTATCGCTAATAAGAGTATCATAGAAATCATAACTAAAAATCAATCATGCCACTTTTTGAGCAGGGTTTATTGCTGCTGCTGCTCGTTGCCCCAATTATCGTGGAGAAAACAGTCCCAGGCAGGTTCTTGGTCGCCGTAGGGCTTGGTGGGTGTGTCGAGGCTATCCCAGTTTAGCGGATCCGATATCTCAGGATAACTCTCACCAGCGACGCCAAGTTCAGTGTCCTCTTCCTTATAATACTTGGAATCGCCACTGTAATCATAAGATTGGGGACCCGCCCAGTTGTGAGGCTCACTATAAAGAGCAGAGCCGAAAGTATCGTTTATACCCGCACCCATCAACAGCTTGGCCTCAGCCGGTAGCTCTGCCGTGAAAGCTGAGCTGTCGGGATTATATTCCATCATGGGAGGCGGCTGGACGTTTGCAAAAGATGATGTACAACAAGGTTGGGGCGTCTCGGAATTCGACCCGGAACCTGGTGTGAGAGCTGGTGGCGACATGGCTGTATCGTTTCTCGACTCAGAAGGAGAGAGGCCTGACATGGAAAGGCTTCGGTCGCCATGTCTATTGTTACACTGTTGTCCATAGTTGATAGGCTGGAAGTTTGGGTCAAAATGCTGCTCCATGGGGGTCGAGACGGTGCTGTTTCGTGCGTGAAGTACCGAGTAACCTGGTGCGGAGTATCTGTGGGAAAGAGATTGGGCTTGTTGCTGAGCTTGAGGGAACATTCTCGCAAATTCCATATTGATTTCGTTGTTGCGCCAATCAGTCTCAGTGGCCGAGATTATTTTTGACATGGCCACACGATTCGTGAGATATGCGTCCACTCTAGCATTGAAGGCAGGGTTGTCCGTTTGCATGCTCTGTTTGAGAATCCGGTATGATCGAGGGAATTCATCGTCCTCTTCCTCATACATCTCCTCCTTCATAACAATTTCCTCAGTGATTCGGAAAGCTTTCCCAGTTCGTTTCTTATGGATTTCGCTGGCCATCCTAGCCGACTGAACACGGGCTTCAAGGCTTCGGTCTGCTCGCCTTGAGGCTGCAATATATGCTCGCTCTTGATTCTCTTCATGGGATCGCTCAGTCTAGAAATAAATGTTAACGATATTGTCCCTGTACGTATCTTGTTAAGGGTTCGGGAACAAGTATTTTTACCTTTCGGGTTGGGGCAGGCTTGATTGGGCCGGCCATGTTCGCGGCATCAAGAGATCTTTTGGGCATATTGACACTATGCAATTGACTTTGTCAATTTATTGGGAACCGTTCAACGTTTTCAGAGTAGTGGAACGCCGATACGCTGACAGCTTCGATTGCTCAATGTTTATAGACCTAGTCCAAGATCCTGTCAAACTGATATCGTCGAATGGAGAACGCAACGCAGTTGGCATGTATGGACGGGAGATGCAAAAAGTATCCCCAAGGTGACTTGAAGGATAAAATATATGTCCCGAGGTCGGCGCCTATCAGGTATTCTTATGAATGCTTCAGATTGGTGATCAAGTTTGAACAGGACTTTAGAGTTTGAGTTTCTCAACAAAAGTCACGCCTTTCCGAGGGAGAGAGGTTTTTAGGTTGATGGAAATATTAAGTCAAATCAAGAAAATGCCCGAGAGGGGGCCGGGCGATGCTCTTGTATTATACACAAACAGGGTAAAAAAGCCAACCCCAAGGACAGCGACAAGGACTGGCGGGTTGCAGGCGCGGGAAGGACATGTAGCTCGATCCGAAGGCGATCCAACGACTATGATCGAGCGTAGTTATGACGATCGATCTCGATCAAGAGCGCTCTGTTAGCGCTAAGCACAAGGGACAAGTACCGTCCCGTATCGACCTAGCCCCCGCCCCTACGGTACAGGTAGCTTTACCTTATTAACCCCCATCAGGTTCCGCATATCCATGGATTGATTTGTCCCCCGGCACTCCTCCGGTCCTCATCAGTCAGTGGCTGGCCTGCCGTGAGGTTCTCATCTCCATTTGATTTCCCCCGCTCTTAATGTAAGAACCGCCAACCATGGCGGCCGGAGTTGAATTTACCACTGCAGCCGAGGACAAGGAGGGATGTCTCTAGGTAGTTCAGAGACAGCTCTCACCTGAAAGCACGAATAAACACCAACGATCAAAGTCATCTCCATTGTTTCAAAACTCCAAAGACATCCAGGAACTCTTAGATAATCTCTCTCTAAGATCCACGAATAAGGACTTGCGGATTGAGGAAACAGCATAGCCCCAATCTTGTCAAAGATATGGACAGTATGTACAGCCGAAACCCTGCTTCCTTACTTCTTTGCTGTGCATGAGGATTGTAGTACACAGCGGCGCCTCTCGTTAACCTCTATCCTAAGGAACGCCGAATCCTCTCTCAGCCAGTTCGGCAATTACTCGACATACTCTTACATTGTTATTTGGATCGTTGGAGACGGCCAGCGTCACAGAGGTCACCCTATGCCTGTCCCATCGACTTTTGCTCCAGGAAAAGGTTAACCATTCTGTTCGATCGCAATCTTTATGGTCTGCTGTTCATCGCGTCGGCAAAGTATCTTGTCCGAAGGGACCCCGGAAATCCACCAAAAGAACCCTTGAACTGTAAACCCTGCCATTTTATCATGCCATTCTGCTAAGCCTCCTCTCATGCTACCTACTGTGCTGTATTGTATTCACTTATTGGTCTGGATTGGCTGTTTCACTCAATGGACAGTCCTGGCCTCACGCACCTCCACCGCCTGAGTGAATCCTTCTACGATACTCTGAAGCGTAGCGTAGCAACTGTACTGTACTGTACAATGCTAATGCTTTGGTCTTGCCGGTGAGACGGTCAAGTTTGTTTCCATTCGATGGATAGGAGCCCTGTCCCTCTGCAGCCCATCGATAGCGTGAGGCGTGGGCTAAGTAGATCGATCGCTTCGAGACTAGGCGATCCGTTGGTCAAGACATTTTTCTCATGAACCCATGTTTCGACCGTCTCAGAGATCGCGATCCAAGATAATAAGACCCAACTAACAAAACAAACATTCTTTGGTTTCAATTAAATTGATTACTTATGCTGATGAGACTTGGAACCTACGGAGCATGTCTTCCGTGCAATCGGCGCCATCAGATGCAAGATGAGATGTTGTCAGTTGGACACCGCATTTGTCTCCCCGTTCCTTGTTTTCCATTCCCCTTCTGTCTCCTTATGGTTCTCCATTGGGCCATTCCAGCTGATTCTGTTGTTATCGTACACAGCCGTGGCAGTTCCTCGCCAAAGAAACCCCAGCTTCCAAACCCATACTAGGCTGTTTGCATGCCTTCTTCCATGTCAAGTTTGCCTGGGCATTGTATTGTGGTCTCCTCCTATACTGCCACGGCACGGTGCAGCAGAATGGGGGAAGACGTGCCATGCTTAGCCGTTGGCAAAGTCAGAGCCAATTATCAATTGATAAGTATTCAACGCACCACAGTACCTGAACATCGGCCAGGCGTTGAACGTAATTGACTGATAAACTAATGCTTGTACTGTACCTGGCACTTGGTAGCCAGAATTACGATCCGTCTACGCTCTTATCACATCAGAGCATCGTTGGGCGCTTGCTAGCTGCGATGGAAAGAGTCTCGAGGCTGAAGCATCGACAGGGGTGAGCATCGCAACACAATCGGAGCTCGTACTTTCAAGGCCAAATTGGTGATCCAGACAGGCGGGTCCCTCCACAGGGAATCGAGCGGCTGCTGCACGCCGCCAAGGCACATGGATAAAGACAAGAAAAAGAGAACGGACTTGTCGGAGAGCGAGAGCCAGAGATCTGATTGACAGGCAAGAACGGTGGGTACCGCATCGCAAATGATAACTAATCCCCAGCGAGTCAGATTCAGATTGTCAGACAAAGAAAAGAGAGAATGTGTGATACTCACCGCCCATGACGATGTTTCGAGCTCAGATCTTGGATCCTTTATTAGCGCCCGAGAAGTCTCGGACGGCCATGAATTCGATATGTATCGTCTAGGTGCCCACGTCTGACATTGGCTCATTCTTGATCAATTTTTCTGTCAGCCAAAGAAACAAGGTTACCCATCAGTGACAAACGCAGACCCTTAGCCGTTCACGATCGTTAGAGACATGAGCTGAGCTGGGAGCTTGACTTTTCGCTGAACTTTGCCAACACCCACACCCTTCTGAACCAAATCTTCAAACTACCCAATATTGAGCTAGGATCTCACCAGTGGAGACGGGAGATTGTTTTACAGAGGCCCAAGTTCGCTTCTATATCCGAAAGTGGAGAGCTCTCCTGGCCACCACAACCATGAACGCCCTTAATGTTTAACAACCAATATGCTTCCCTTCCAGCTTAACCGACCCATCATTTTTCGATCTCCGCGAAATTCTTGAATCACAATCATCAAAAACATCATGCTTTTATAATTGCTTGTTTGCGTTGACTCGATCAGCAACAGTCGGGTTGAACTGTTATTGCACTTTGTTACAGAAAACCTCTATCTCAGCCAGGAAAACCTTCAGCGACAAACATTTTTTGCCCACTAGATAGTATTGAGGAGGGTTGAGAAACCTGATCAAATGTGATATCTACAGTATCGATAGTGGTATATCTATCAGCCCAGAAACTGTGGGTAGCAATGTCTCTCTTGAAACAGTATGAGCCCTCAGGTCAATGCACTCTGGTTGCAACCTCAATCTTGCTCTGAGTCTGGATGGACACCCCAACTTGTTCAAGGGTGGAATGTGGTGTCGGACTTTTCGGACCGGACCATCGTCTCCGGCCCCTGTTCCCTCTTGGCCCACTATGAAGGGGTACCCAGAGGTACGAGCTTGCACTAACAATTTCTTTGAGTTCCACTGGCTGCATACACGTCCCGGGAATCTTCAGCGCTAGTCCCTTTTTGTCCGAGAGGCTGGCTTGTGCCACGTTTGTCCGCCACAGGTATCCCCGCTCCATCCAATGATTGTCGACTATTCCTTGACACAAGCCACAAACTAGTCGTCGGCCATGGGAATTGAAAGCATCTCAGTGTCGATCTCAACATTCCCATTCTTGCTTAACAATACAGCACCTTTTCCACCACTTAAGCCGCAGCCACCTCAATATGACGTTTCTGTCTCCCGCGCAACGAGATTGGTTCCCGCACTTTAGACTCCACGAGGTAGAGGAGGGAACAAGAGCTAACATCGGCGCGATTGAGGAGCATTACCCCCCCCTAATTGCCGGTTCCCAGCGTCGATATGAGATCAACGTAGCGTAAGGCAGAGAAGCAAGCAGAGAAGCAGACGATGCGCAGATGCCACCACGTCTACACGTGCTGCCGTGTACCTAGACGTCGAGGTGGTGGTGAGCAGCGATTTGCCCCTGCATGCCCATTCGTTGTTCTCTCAGATCTACCCCAGATTCTCCAACACCATGCTTCCCAAGCTCCGATGCAAGCCTGAGGTTTAATGCCCTCGCAACGAAACCGAAAAAAAAAGAGAGGTTCCCAGCAATCCGGGGTGCACGGAGTGCCTCCGGCACAGGGTGCCCGCATGCGCAAGTTCCCGATCGTGTCGAGTTGACAGTGGTGCAGCAAATGTGACAAGGGAATTCGTGAATTCTTTTTCATTGAGGGGATGAGTTGATTTGTAATGCCTGCATTACATCAATATCACCACAATTCTCAAGGATATTACTGTTCGCCCCTAAGACAGTGCTCACAACCAGAGGCCGCTGCAGGGGCTTAAGCGTGTGGATTTAGATATCCTTGGAAGGGGGTGATTGCTGGATAATGATCGCACATTAAATCATTTATACGACATGCCAGATCTGATTCCCCACGCTACGGCAGATGGTGACGGGTATTGCACGGCGAAATCGATTTGAGCACCATCGACCACGGATAGATTAGCGAGATCTGGAGTCTCAAGTGAGTCTTTGATCTCACTCAGCTGGATGGACCCTTACACCAACTTATTGGCCAGCACTGGAATACATGGAACTTCGACAGCCATTGGAGAATCAAGTTGGTGCCCGGCAAGTCTGACCAACACCTCCAGGAACTTTCACGTCCCCCTCCCAGCCACCGCCTCAGAAGCAACTCCGATTTCACCAAGTCAGCTTGACGTCTGTCTCCGGTAGAAATCAGTCCGCGGCTCGTCAGTATGAGTTATTTGGCTACGGTATCATTATTCGCAAAGTTACCAACCATTGACGCATGTGCGCACAGCCGTTCAATTGCTTTCAGCAACCAAGATGCCCATCCTACTT